TAAATTTCCTAAAGCTGATATGAAGCAAAATTCTAAATGAAAAGTGGCTGTGGACGGATGATTAAAAATCTCCAGTGTATTCAAATGTTCGCGCTACAGGCAGACAACCATCATCATTTAAAGTAGCTTCTTAGCTTAAGAAAGTTATTCCCAAATGGGTATAGTGCTATTCTTTAACTATTGCAACAATCACCCCTAAGTGGAAAAGGAACGGCATTAAAAGAACTGGCGACCCGAAGGCGACAAAAATCACGAGGTGGTACGTCTAGACACTGGTTGGTGCCATTTAGCTCTGCTTCCAATTTTGCTGTTTGCATTTCTTAAGCGTGATAGGCGTTTTTAACAACGTTCCTGTTTTTGAGCACTTGACGACCCAGCAACGGAACTAATTTGCAGATAATAAATCCCATTATATTAGGAACTGCCTGTTTACTTTCGAGCATTCCAACAACAGTATGACTAGACTAGTTCTGATAGTGTTAATGTTAACTATGTGTGAGGCAACACTAAATTATTTTTTCTACTATCGCCAACTTATTTAAACTGTTTCGAAATTTGTTATTTTATTCACCTGTGCTACACGTACAATCGGGCAGATTAATCGAAGACGAATCACAGAGCTAAAAAATGATGGTTTATAACCGATAAAAATCAATTCTTAAGCAAATATATTGCGCTTAACGAGCTTGTCGATTTGCTAACAAAGAGATTATGATCTCTGTTAGAGCCAAGGTATCTAATTTCATCTTGCAGATGAAACTCCTCTAGTTTACCTTAACAGTTAGAATACGACAGTATACTTGTATAAGAATTATTCAAATAATTAGTGAAAAATAAAAAATATTTATTTTAAATAAAAGTGATTTATTGCCAGTGGTTTCATTTCCTCAAAGTCACGAAAGGCAGAACCTAGACTTAATTAACTCAGCCAAAATTAACCAGACGTAAAATGTAATTTAAAAAATGCCGCAAACTACATTAAAAGTGGAAAGCAAACCAAAAAATGTTTACTTAATACGACAGTTTTGCCATGATTTTGGAAATATGTAGTTTAGGCTCACTTTCTTTGGAACATTTGACATAAGATAAGCATGAAAATAAGAAACAAATTCCTAATGATTCAGTTTACTCAAAGATGGGAAAGTACACGAATATTGATATGAATAATAGTAACATGATTTAAACACTTTGCTTTGGTTAAAAGAAACCGCAGAGAAAAAACGACAAACAGGTTTGCTTAAGTTTACTTAAATCAATAAAGTTAAACTAAACAATTTTTAAAACGACGATTTATTTAGGGCCTTGATGTATAAAAAAGTAATCAAAATTATCAAAAATCTAATAGAAATATATTTTTTTAAATACGTGTACTCAATAATACAAAAATTAACACTTTTTAGTAGAAGTAACAATTTTTTGTGAAATTTTTCAAAATAATTTACGGAAAAAAAATTGCGTTTAGCCAAAACTAACCACGCAAAAACCACTAAATTTGAATAAAAATCTGAATTAGTTACAAACATGTGTATCTACAGTTTAGCAAAAAAATAAAATTTATGAGAAATAAGTATTTCTCTTACTGCTTTTTTACTACTAACCTGAGAAGTCACCATTAGGTATTTACTCCATTTTCCTAGTGAGAAGTTATATTTATCTCCCTAGACCTGTAATAATAATTAAAAAGTTCGTAGGTATATAATGAAACATGTTTACGTTTTTCATTATTTTTAGTTTGCCCACCTCTATAAGTTCAAGAGAGATTCCAGCTACTTTCAGGTCAAAAATCACTGTAACTTTACCATTAATTATTTTTTTTGCCTTTCCCAGGAGTTTTTCTTAGAGCTTTTATTTGTTTTCCATCGTGCCCCGGGCGCTACTCATAAAGGAGCGCCAAAAGGTCCTCAAAACAAAAATTGTTCAGCGAAACAACAGCTAATTGTTGTGACATGTTTTGGAATCATTGAAAACATATACATATCACTTTTCTTCACGTTCAACGTTACGATGGAAATTATTAACAAATGCCTTAAGTTAAAAACTGGCCAAATTTCGAAGCCAAATTTTGTGAGGAGGCGATAGAAAAAGGAAGGTCTGTGAAAAATGGCTAAATAATTGGCTAGAGACTAGAGATGTTGGTCTTTCCGCAGAAAGTGAATTTTCTTGCGTTATTAAAACCGTTCTTGATGGAGGAAGACTGAATTTACACGATTAAGTGACCTAAATTTCAAATTTGGATTGCTACTAGACGCTGAAAATTAAAAATACTATTGACGCGCTAAAATCATCCTGCGCTGAATAAGTTGATTTAATTTCAATTCATGTGAATGCTTAAATAAATCGACGCAAAATACCTCAATAAAAAAAAATTGATTATAATTTTGTATTCAGCATTGCGAGAGAAGAAATACAATTTTAAATAAAGTTGGAACTTTTTTGATCATGCGCAGAATACGTTTATTCAATGTCTATTCATGCGACTGTTTAAATAAATCCACGAAAAGGCTGTCAATATATTTTTTTGTTAGATTGATGAAATAACATTTTCTTGTACTTTCATTATGAGAAGGATTAAGCAATAAAAGAAAGCTGATTGATATATAATTTTTTTTATTTTGCAACCTTAAACCAATAAAATATTTTAATTTGATCAAAAACGTATCTACAGGTGCTTATCACATATCCATTACTAATTTCTGCAAACATGTTATATAAAGATAAACTAATACAAACCAACAATAAACAATTTTTCAGTTCGCGAATAACAAAGAAATCATCAACATTTTATATACCTAATCACGTAAATAGATAAAAGATATAAACTTAAATACATAAAATATAGTTATATATGATGTTATAAAGATAAATTAATATAAAATTAACAAATACTTCTTTGGTTCCTACTGATAATTAGTCATATTTTTGGTATATAATGACTTGAATAGATAAACGATAGGTTCAAAAACTATAAGTTAGTGATGTGAAACTGTCCTTTACCTATTTACGTTTTTTTTGCTAGGATGTTATTAATGGAAAAGTCACTGAATGCTCTCACTCGGTCGTAATTGACTGGGTAACCGAACGGTGTCATATTATAAGGAGGCGGATAATAATATCCTGTCATATATGGATTAGGTGCATATGCAAACTGATTACGATAGAAATAATCCAAATTAGGTTGAAACAGTAGAGGGGGACCTGAATTCCACATAAAATTTGATCGAAATCTGTCTCTACAACAACTTTCTTCGCAGGCCTTGCCGCTGTTGTATTCCATCTTTGGAGGTGATGGAACGTATTCATTACCTGCACGGGCTGGTTCTTTATTAGAACTATTTTCACTGGAACTTCTCGGTGATAAATCTAAACATGGGATTTTCTGTGATAAATCTAAAGATTCATCGTTTGGATGTGAATTTTGTTCTGCTGGCGTAGACGGTGATAAGCTAGACACTCCACTGGACGAAGCAGGGCTGTCGGAATATCGTATGAGCTTTGGAGACTCTGGCCGTTTAGGATCACTACTGCCTTCAAGATCAACCACGTTAATGTATTCTTCAGGTTGGTCCGGATTCCTTTTCCTCTTGCACTTTGCCTTTCCGGTCTCCTTGAATCCCTTCGCAAAAGGATTTCTGTCTATCTTCAACTTAGTGACTCGACTGTTCTGATAAGCCGTTACTGCGACAAATTCTGTATCCGGCAAATCAATCCGCCAAGTTTGACCCCAACTATCCAATGTGGAATCGGTCTGCACAATGACGATGCATGGTTGATATCTGTGCATTGACGACAAACAGATCTGGAAAAAATTAATTTAACTTTTAAAACGTTTCTTTGGAAAACTGCGTTTAAAAAAATGTGCGATAAAAAGATGATGCCTACCTGATTTCTTGGAGGAGATGGGGTGTTGGTAATTCGGATTTGATCGAACTTGATGGACGGCTTCGACATCCATTGCTCGCCTTTGATTTCGCCCTCAGGGTGTTTGTAGGCCAAAAAAGTGTTTTGCGCTTCTCCTGTTCCTGAAATAGAACATAGCATTAAGCTGGATGTTAAAAAGGGCATGGAATAAAAGTGATTTTTTTAAGTTGCGTTCTTTACCTGCTGGTGACCAACCGCCATCCTTAGAATACTTGAATCTGCACCTTGAAGCAAGACGAAACTCCAAGTAAACGGCGTAAGTGAGGTGAGGCTTCATTCCTTCCACATTTATGTCAATGATAGGAAACATTTTTCTGGAAAAAAGCATTTTTTTATTGTCATATTTATCGTGAGTTGTTTCAGCAGAAGACATCCAATTATCAGATGGTTTTTAGTTGGAATCAGTAGAAAATAACCACTTAAGAAAGCCGCAACAAAAGAAATCAAAAGAGTTTGGCGATCGCTTGAAACCGGCGAGTTCTTCACCTGTGCGTGTTTTTTCAGTTTTCATATACATATATATTTTGAAGAATTTTCCTGAAAAATAAAGACTAACCAAAAATTCCGAAAGGCCAAAACAGCGTTTTTTTCTCTGTTCCCTTGTGACTAGTTGAGCCCATCAACAGCATTTCGCAGGTTTTAAAATTAGTTTAAATCCACTTCTATCCAAAAAGACATTATTTAATCCAACTAAATGCTTTTGTGCCCGGTGGTTTCATTATCAAAGGTGCCGACATAATAAATCTCTTCACCTTGGCCCACAAGTAAACATAGGAAAAGACCAGTAGAACGGCTTCTCTCAGGAAGAAAATGAACGAATTTCGTACATGGGTAAGTCAGGAGCACCTTGCTTTGTTGCGGTGCTACCGCAGAAGGCCTTGAGGATTTTCTTTGTACCGTTAGAAAGAAAAAGAGGCTTTACAATGGGTGTTAAGGACAGTCAAGATCTATGACTTAATAATAAAAAATCGCAAGCATCCAAAGTATCTGAAGATCGTTTGGGGGCATTTCGGTATTCAAATTATTATTCATAGTTGTAAAAAAATATTACAGTCAAAGAAGGGATGCAACATTTAGGGATGACCTAGAGAAGATGCGGGTGGTCAACAACTGGTGTTTTCCAAGTAGAACAGCTCTTTAGGTGCGGCATCTTTGGCCGATGAAATCAAGTGTTAAGACGACGCCACAATGGACTTAAGAACAGCTAGTCTGGTATCTCTTTTGTCTGTTCCTTCCGACAACAGTCAACTTGGCGAGTAGCTCGATTTTTGCCATGTGTCGCAATATTTTACAGCTTATGATTGGCAGGTTGTGGCTTAGTACCTTAGTAGCAAGCTAATTTAAACTTTCCTGGGGCTGTCCTTTTAACTAACTTCTTTTTGTGTTCTGAATTAATTGATCGTTTTTTAGTTTTAGTTATTTACATTTTTTCTACTATAATTTGTATTTTGGTATTATTGTCAGTTTAATTTTTAGGTAGTTTAAGTATGGGTAAATTTGGAATGTAATTTCATGTGCCTGGGACAAAATTAATTTATTTAAAGTCTTGAAATAGTTTTCAAATCTTTTGAACTTTAATAGTGAAAAATGCATTTTATGGGCTTTTCGGCAATTTTTTGTTATTTTGAAGCATTAGATACTTTTGCTGACTTTAGTTTTCTTGGAAATTTTAATAAGGTTGCGATCTTCATCACAAATTACACTTTTACAACAAAAATGCAAAATTTTCCAAAGGATTTGAGATCAAAATATTAAACTTGAGAAGCAGTAAAGAGTCCTATTACGAGTAGGTACCTATACTTAAGTTTGTCTAATTTCATTTGAAATTTGGCTGGCGGTTTTTGAAAAAGAGAAGCTCGAATCCGTTTTTTATTTATAAATGTGATTTTTTATATCAAATTTATTTGTACAAAGTGATGTATCATGCTTAGAATTCAATGAAGAATGCAAAATGGGAATTAAAAGCAGGGGCTTCTATTTGAAATAAACACCTAAGTTGATGTTCGTAACGTATTTTTAGACAGGGTTGTCCAAAAAAGTATAATTAAATTTGGCATACGAAAATCGCCATTTTAAGTCAAAACTGATGCTTCTGATGATTTTTTTCACAAAAACAATCGGCTTAATTATAAATGACATTTAGACATTAATTCTAAGACTCGCTGTATATCGACAACTGCTTCAGAGTGTACAAAATATTGAGTTTTTTGACTGATTCATCCTGTATCTATATTAGACTGCATTTATATCAGAAACTAATGGAATTTAATAACAAATGGATAAAATATATAATAAGTAACAATTAGTTCTATAGTGAAAATTTAAGAAAGCGAAAAATTTCACACGAACGACGTTTAATCGCAATCGGTTGCACGTTAGTTCTCAATTTCCAGAGGTCTATACAAATTTCCTGTATAGTATTCAAATTTAAAAGCGCTGCTTTTGCAAATTAAATATGCTTGATTTAGGGCAACAACTTGATTCAATTGAACTCAAATAAAAACAAAATTCCCTCACACGACTAAAACCGCAACGTTTCAACTAACTACCATTTTTCCTCGCTTTCAATAGGACATGATTTTAGGTCGGTAGATTACAAATTTGTTGTATTTAAAATGGATCAACAAATAATATTTATAATATTGAACTCAAAAATAAAAAAAGTGGACTTGGAAAAAGAAATCAAGTGGACGAAGTGGAATTGTCTGCACACCTTCCAGGGAGCAGCTGTAGGAATAACTAAGATCTTGCGATGTTTCCTTTGCCCAACTAGCACTAGTTGGAGTCATTTAATGAATACCGATGTGTGAAGGTCCAATGATGGATAATTCACGTAGAGTTGTAGAACGCAAGAGAAAACTTTAGTAAAGTCGAGGCTTCTCAGCAGTAGGCGAGTTGTCCCATTCCTAAACACTCTGTGGGAGCTGACCCATATACCATCGAAATTACTAGTCTTTATTTGCCCTCATTCAGTACTTATCTTACTGATTTGCCCTTGAGGAAAAATGGTCATATGTGATGTATATTGTTATATTTCTGAGAAAAACCTAAACGAGACAATAATAATTCTCTCATGAAGAGGATCTACGCCTGCTATGAAAGGGTGTTATTGGGTACACAAGTCGCAAGTATAAACTCGAATTGTTATCACATTTCAGGGCGCACTGAGCCGCAGTTCAGCATTATAGGATACTAAATATTAAAATATTATGTGAACAGGTACTTTGTGAGTTGTTGGAGCCTTATAATAAATTACACTGCAAGCCGGAAACAACTAGGTATTGGTATGCCCTCGTACGACCTTTAGGGATTATATTTTATCTTAATGGTATTTAAATGACTGCTCGTTAAAAATCGGTTGACTCATTGAAAAGTGGCAATAAGCTTCAGACTTTTGGAGTCGCCATAGAAAAATCGCGATTTCTCACTAGAAGGAATCGGGAAATAACAAGCTTTATGCTCAGGAAGTGGTTTTACTATCGCGTAAAACAACACATGTTACGGAATTAAAATTCAGCACCCAAAACCACATGGGGTGGATCCCATCACGGCCAATTTATAGTTTATTTACAGTTTGGCCCAAATCAACACGACGCACATGCAAGCATATCGAAAAAGAAAAACAACACAGTCGGAAGATTTTGGCGTTTTTAAGTAATCCCTATATCCGAGATAAATAGAGTGCATCTGCATAAGTGCATATGTCTTACCTTCCAGTTTTTGTGATGATCATTTCCGTGTCCAGTCGTCGAAATGCTTGCCATAATTCTGACCCTTTCAACGTAACTTTAAGGTCGCAATTGAGAGCTGCGCCTGCAATAAATAAATTAAATTCATTTCAAACTTACTAAAAATTAAATTGTTTGCCGATTGAACAACGAAAAACCGCATGTTGGTTCAATAACTACGAAAACTCTGGCTATTATTTCTATGGACTCTATCTGAAGAAAAATGCATTTGCCCTTCTTTTAACGGTCAATTTCTTGAATCATTTGTGGAAAATCTGTTTTAGTAACCATTTTGCTATTTTTATATGCAAATTATACACTTTGAAGGAGCGACGATATGAAATTTGAAAAATCTTGAAAAACGGTATAGGTACTATGCAAATTAGGAGCCGGATTGTTTAAAAAAAAGCAAGAGAAACTAGTCTTTTCGCCTTGCAAAGAGGAACATCGACAAAACACAAATGGAATGAAATAATTGTGAAAATTGAATCTGTTGAAGATGAAAGAAATAATCAGCGGAAAGAAAAAATCTATCACTTTGTATTATTTTTAAATTATTTTGTACTTATTTTATTTTATGAATGTCTGGCCATTATAGAAAACACGAAAAAAATTTCCAAAATATATTTCTGTGCATCAAATATAACGTTTTAAATCCCTTCGAGTACGACAAATGCAACGTTCTACTTCGGAGATTTGAAGGTAAAATGAGAATTACTTACATCTAAAATAATATGCAAAATCCTTTCCAATATTATGAAATCTTGGATAAAATTTGAAAATTAGATGAAAAAACTTAT